GGTGATCAGACCTGTCATTCACAGCTAAGAGCCCTAACTACTCCCACAGAAAGAAACTGTGGCTGCTGTGGGTCTCATGAGTGATCGCACCCGTGCAATTGAAATTAAGGCTTGTGCTTTGTTACATGTCAGATGACAGTCTTTCCCTAGCCAAACAACTGACCATAGCAGCTGGAAAAAACATCCAGTAAAATACATAGATGGCTTTTTGTAAGGTTTAAGGGAGATAATTTCTAATTGAAGACTTCTCCATGCCTCCTAAAGCATCATTTTAACAATGAATGGGTGAATTTACTACATTTACTATAGTGGCTTATGAGTAAAATGCTAAATATGTATGTTGTACACTGCTACATTTGCAAACTGAAACTTGTAATTGTGTGAGGTGAGTATGGAACAGGGCTCTATTTTTTCCTTTCTACCCTCTCATCATTTGTGATGATGAACTTGTGATTCTGTTGTAATAGGCCTTCACATAAGCATGTACCACAAACAAAAGCTTGTGCATTGCTCTACAGAGCTTATAACTTAAATAGGAAAACTGCTAAAGAATAAAGGCAGAACTGCTTATATACCAGTATGGTTTAATGCTGTTTAAATGAAGCAATAGTAACCAATCAGCAAATGGAAAACTTTAAACTTTAACTAATCTAGTTATCTTTACACCATTTTTGGTACACCAAGGGTTATTTATGAAAAATCATTAGAAAAAAGACTTTAATTTATCGTTATCTTGGGATTAAGACATGAACTGCTAGTACCTTTATTAGGCGAATAAATAAAAAAATAATTTGTATTCATTTCTGCTAATTTTAAAGAAATAATGCTCCCAGTGAAATTAACACCAAGATATATTTTAACAAAAGCCCAATTTAACCAGTGTAGATTTAATTATTTCCTAAGAAACTTAAAGTTGCCACTTCATGTATAAAGGCCTGGCACATATTACTTTATAACATGGCCATGAACTACCTGTTCAAGTTGGTCCTGCTTTGAGCAGAAGGTTGGAGTAGAGACTGTCCAGCTTTAAACATTGTGATTCAGTGAGGCATTGGAATAGAGAGTTTGAGGTCAAACAGATGCAAAAAGGACACGCACAGGGGAGAGAAACAAAATTAATTATTTTCTCTGGTATCGGTAATAGAAGAACCTGGGGGCACTTAGGAAATGGTGGGGATGGCAGTTGGGAGATGCAACAGAGGGACCTCCCTGAAGCTGAAGTTACTGTGGAGTGAGTTACATAGAATGCACACCAAGAAATTGCTCTGACTGTAATGGGTATTTACTCAAAAAGTCACAAAAGCCCTCCAGAATGAAAGGGGTGAATTGCTCATGGTCATGTGCAGGAGGTCCCATAGTCCAGTCTGGAGAAGGTGAAAGGTGAGATGAAAGAATAAATGCTGGGTGATAAACACCCATCTCAGGGCACACTACCTTCTTTCCTGCTACAATCACAACATTTTTTTTTCTGCTCTGCAGTATTTATTTTACCCTGAATGTTTATGGGCCAGTGAAATCTACACCTGCATGTTTGGGAGGCCTTGAGCCACTCTCATTTTCAGATAATACTAGATAGAGGCAAGAGTTTTGAAGCAGGTGGGAAGCAAGTTTTGAATTCCCCATGTTCAAACTCTGTTGGTTTGATCAGGTTTGTCATTCTTCGTGCAAAGGAAATAAACACATCTTAACAAATCTTCCTTATGTTAACTCTAAAAATAAACCAAAACAGCTACCTTCCCCTAACCAAAATGGGTAAGTCAAGGCTTTCCACCAACCAGCCAAAAAGCCCTAGAGGGTATTCCCATGAGGCTTGCAAAATTTATTGCTCATTTCCAATTGGAAAAAAAAAGATGGACTGCAGTAATTCCTTGAGTACACATTATTTGTATAATACAAACTACTAATAGTAAACAGCAAAAATTAAACTAGTATTAAAGTAGTTTTTGTACACACCTGAAAAATTGTATCCACAGGCATTAATTAGGAGTAAATTCTTTGCAAAAAGTGAGAATAAAAAAAACCAAGTAAGAAATTTAAACTATTAGCCTGTTAAACAGTTAACTTGATAAAAATAATATCTGAAGATAAGGGTGAGAGAACAAAAGAGAAGTATTTAGGAAAACATTTTCCTACATGTTATTTGTATCCATGAGGTATTCCTGTATATTGCTACACTTAAACATGTTTTGGTTTTTTAATGTAGTGGAATTGTAATTTTAAGTTACTGTAGTAAAAGTGTGTGATCTCTGCATATCAAGTCATTATCCTTAACATTTGAAAGCTGTGATAAGAGAGGGAAATTTCACAGCTTAAGAAATGGTTTCCCCATAACTGATACTAGTAATACAATGATGGGCAATACATTAATTATAAAGAGATTTCTAGGCAAACTTTATTAGGGCTCAGTCCAGATGAGTATGGCAATAAAGTGAATGGAAAATTTGGAATCCTGTTACATTGAGTGCTGAGTCATTATCAATAAAAAGGAATATGGAAAAATGCTGATGTCAATCATTCTCTTAGTGTCATCCTTTTTTTTTTTTATTTTCATAGACAGGAGTGCTATGCCAGAAAGCCATGATGGTAAAGCACTATCTTACCTTTTTTCAAATATTTAAAAAGTCAAATTGTCTGGGAAGAGAAGCCAAATTACACATTACATAATCCTACAATGCATTAGCATTGGTCATGGATGTCCTAGAAGAGAACATGCTGAGGTGCTTCATGACCATAAAGCAAATGTACGGCTCTTGATAGTAAAAGTACAACTGGAGGAAACTCACATTGGAGGCTTCACAGAAGTTAATGTGAAATGCAGCTGGGCACCATTTCTGGAGTACTAGTGCCAGAGAGGCTTTTTAATGAAGGGTGACCCTCCAAAGGTCACAAGGACCAATGCATTTAACTACACAGAAGCAAAAGAACTGTGAAAGCAAAATATACAATGGTCCTGCAAACTCATTCCTCATGTATGTCAATACTTGTGGTCTTCAGCATTTTTAGAGCTTGTGGGTTTTTTATTTTTGCATGTGATAAGAGAATTGTGTGAGTCCTGCATTCTCCAGAAGTTTTGCCTTAAAACCATGAATGCTGATTCCCAAACTACACTTTCTCTCCTTAAGTGGCATTGAAGACCAAGGAAAAGCAAAACCAGAAGCAAGAGAGAGTGGAACTCACAGGCTATTAATAATCAGTCTTGTCTGCTTTTGTTGGATGATTGTAGAATCAGAAAGAAAAGTCTTTAATACACACAAAATCATTTTTTGTTTCATCCATTCTCATTGTGTCTTTTGGTGCCTCCATAAGGAAGAAGAAAATATTTGCATTTAAGAATGATTGCTTATCATTGATGCTATTTTACTTTAAAAGTTAATATCATTTTTGAATGTTACAGATTAACTAGGTTTAATACAGTTAGTTACTCTTTGGTCTTATTTGTTGTTTTTGGGTTTTTTTTACAAATTCTATTTTTCTGCGTGGTGTTAATGTGTACTTTATTCAGGCTGGGATAGTATCTTCATGTCAGTGGGGTGACCACAGTTTACTCCAGAGAAACCTGTGCCTCATAATGTGTGTCTGATGTGTGAATTTGTGGAATTTAAGTGCAACCCATTCTCATCATTCCATGAGATGAATTCTGGAATAGAAAACCAGGGAAGAGTATTTGAAATGAACAATTCCATGTCGATGATTATTGGAGAGGGGCCAATGCTGCAGCAGATTACTGGTGAACATTCACAGGCATTGGTTATTGTTTTCAGGAATGTAGGCAGAAAGTGAAAATTCTAATGAGTTCTTACATTAATATGTAGCAGTGAGAAATTTGAATCCCAGGAACCATCTTGGGGATTTTTAAATAATTATATTAATTATAATAATAATAATGGCTAAGGGTTTGAAGTAAACTAAGTTATTAAACTGAAGAGTGGTAAGGAATTAATTTTTTTTCATAGACCAGTGCTTTGGTGAGAGATTAAGACTATACTGGTTTCTGTAAAGGAAATAAGGAAAATTACACCTACTTATACTGGTGCAGTAGTGGTGGGCATTTTGTGGATCTGTCCCATGGGTATGTTTACTTGTTTTTTATATACTCACTTAAAGACACAAATACCCACAAAATGCCTTCTGCCTTCATACCTGACATACCGCCAGCATATTCCAGATATGAGCCATTTGACTAGAAGAAATTCTCTGCAGCAGAACTGATCACTGAGCTCTGAGATGTGGCAGTTATTGTATTTATAAGGGTTATGGACTGTAGTATGGGAATATGATACAAAAATATAATTAAAATGGACCTGTATTAATAGGAGAAAGGACAGGGGAAAAGAAAAGCAAAGGCTGAAGGGTAAGCTCTGTGTAGCAGACTGTGAAGCAGTGTGGTGCTAGATCTTATCAGATGTTTTGTCTCTCAAATGTGCACGAAAAATGAATGAAGATTAAAAAAAAAAACCAATTCATGAGAGAATTCTAGTTTTCTAGAGATGAAAAAGTAAAAGGAAAGTATGGTTATAAGATGCAGAGCAACCTTCTTTTAGTCCTTCGTTAGGAAAGCCGTGAGTTTACACGTTTTGTATATATCCCTGCAAAACCACAACGCAGAGTTGGAAGTACACCATAGATCCCAGAATCAGGGGAGGGCCAAAGAGAAAAGCAGCTGGCCTGAACTGTCACTAGCACTCCTGCGTTACTTCATGCTCAGTGGAGCTGCTAAGATAACCAATCTTGCACAGGTTGAATCCAGAGTGTTTCCAAGAACTGAGTTAATTAGTGAAGTATCCTAAAGTTAACTAACTCCCCTGCCAAGAAATGGGCTCTTCCATTTTCCTCACATGATTATCTGGGCACTTTCACTTTTCCATATATAGGAGCAGCTCAGGGACTGACAGATCAGGCTAGGTAGGGATACAGACTTCAGGCACATGCATACTCCTTGCATGCAGGCACGGATGCAAGCACATGCTGCTTTCACACACTGAAATTCAAGTTAGCCCAAGAGGTAATAAGTGAAGGCAGCAATAGTCCTGCTGTTAGAGCCTTCTTAAACAGAAGGCACTGAAGGTAGAGCTCCTCAAGCCCCGTTTGCAATATCCCACCAGGAGCAGCATCAGAGCCATGAATGGGCCGGTGGATGGTTTATGTGATTACACGCTTGATGATGAGGGGGCTTTCATGTTCACATCGGAGTCCGTGGGAGAAGGACATCCAGGTAAGAAGCCAGCTCTGGTAAAAGTCTAAAAAGTGTAGTATTTTCATTTGAGGTGTTTTAAAAGCCTAAAGAAGAATTCACCTGGTGTTAATCTTACTAGAGAAGTTATTTGTAACAGGGTGCTTTTTCTACTTTATTTCTACCGGATTTTGTCCATACAGACTGTAGAACTGCTATAACTAGAGTGCTTCCAACAGCAGTTTATGTGCTTTTGCAGGGTGTGTGTTCAGCTGAGGAAGGCAGTGAGGTTTATGGGTGCTGCTCCTTCCTTTTCACCTAAATTTCTTTCAGTATTCCTGTGGGGACACTACTGTATCTCTGACAGGCTCAAGTTTCATATATGGGTAAGAATGCATAGCTTGCTTCTCGAGTTCCATATCTTTATGGGACCTGTGAAACTGTCCTGCACATATGGAGTGGTCTAAGACTATCATCCATGACAGGAATATCCCTAAGTAGCCTATCTTGGAGCCTTTTTTTAGTGGCCCCAGCAGCTGTACATGGCAGAGCCACCAGTTTGCCACCCGCCTCCCACCCCTTTCCATCATCTGATGCAATATATGGAATTGCTTAAGCAAATAGTGGACAGTTATTTGCTAAACTTTATGTATGGTCAGCAGAGATTAGTTCAATTTTATTGAAAACAAATATTCATCCACCATAAACATACACCTTATGTCAACAGCAACTGTTCCCTCAAGTGAGGCCAGGGGACAATGGGCTATTTGAGGTCCTGAAAAGTGTATTTGTTTTAGAAGCTGATTTGGTGGCCTGTGCTTTTTGCTGTAATAAGGCTTTTCAGGTCTGTATTCATGTTATGTGAGTGAATCATAAATGGCTAGGATGATTTTATAGCACAGGATAAAAAGGTCAGCAACGAGAACTTGATGTCTATAGTTTGATACTCTTCTAGATTAACTTATTACTGCAGATCAAATCCATGGCTGATGCAATTGAGTACCTCTCCATCAATATGAAGGCAACTACATCAGGTTAAACCAGTTGGGGTTCTTTCTGATGTAACACAGACAGAAAATGACAGCCACGTTTTGTCCTTGGAACCTATGTCCCATGTCAAATTTATATACATTTACATCCAGTGACTGTAGTGCTATGGAGTTTCATGGGAAAAATCACATAATACAGTGTGGTAATTTTACATGGATGATGTTATTTCCAAAGACAAATGGTCAAAATTTGTGCTACTCTAATCATTATTTTTTAATCATCTTGGGGCAAAAATAGGCATGTCTCAGAGCAGAGAGAGTTCAACAGAGTCCTCAGATTTAGCTTTGTCCCTCGGTTTGTTTTCTTACTACTCCTCTATTTATACTGTTTCTTGTTTTAGAATTTGGCCAATTTTTTAGTTCTTATTCACATTCCCTCCTTTATTTCCAAACCCTCTGTTGGGTTTAAGCCCCATGAATATTATTTTTCACCTGTGCTGAAGTACAAGGCAAACCCTTGAGAAACACAGTTACCACTTGGGTACCCCTGCAGCTTCTCTGGCCTGCAGAGCTTGCTGGGTCTCTGGGTACTATGAGATACAAAGTACCATCCTGGGATGTATTTTTAAAGTGAGTGGAAACTGAAATTTACCGGGCTGTTTTCAAGGCTGTGATGCTTTCTTAAACAGCCTACTTCTTCACTCAGGGTACTGAAACCCCCAGTGCCTATGGCAAAGGGAAAAACAGAGATTTTCCAGATCAAAGGAGGACAGGCTGGCAGTAACTCTGTGTTGTCCTGCAAATTCTTTTTCCTGAGCATCAGCATTGGATCTTAATCATCTCAGTGACAGCTCTGGCTCCTGAGAGCAAATTGATCACTCCTACATCCTGGCCAAGCCCCCCTTTTCCCCTCTGTGGTTTTGCACAAGAGGTGTAGACATGCCATTAGGATTTTATCACCCAGGAAAATCTTGGTTATTTCTTATAAAGAGGCCCAGTGCCTGAGGCTGCAGTTGGGCTTCTGATGTTATCTGTAGCAATAGAATTTTATTGTGAGTTTTGATTTCCTCTGTTTATACAAAATGGATAATTTGCGTGTTCTTGATTATTTCTCTTCCGTATGTGATAGTATAATTTTGCTAGAGGGCATTATGTGCAGTAAAGATCCTGAACCAGATCTTTGTCTGGTGGAAATTTGAATTGTTCTGATTGTATTAACTGAGTATTGGATGCTTTAATGGAAACCTTCTTAATGCACAAAGCAGGAGAAATTACATGGTTATTTATTTGAGTGTACAGAGAGCTGCCTTGTATCTGTGCAATGCCTAGAGCTGGGTGTCACTGGGAAGTCCAGATTCCATAGAAGCAAGTGCTAGCTGTCAATAATTAACCTACAGGTATCACCTGTGCTCCCCAAAGACATCACAGAAGACTGTTTATGCCATCTTCTCACTCCAGATTCTTCCAAACCCCCTGGGCAAAACGTTTGGGAATTCCTTTCAGATCTTGAATCATTTAGTGGTGTAAATTCCAAACTCTCTGGACACTTACACATGACTTCTTCCTTTCAATATAATAATAAAAGTGCAGAGACAGAAGCATGAAAAAGATAACTCTTTCTTTTGGTCTCTATTTTGTCACTGCTCCATTAGTCCTGTAGTGTCTGTCATGCTGCACAGGTTTCATGGTACTTTGAAAAGTACTGTGTATTTCTCTGCCCCACAATGTCTTACAGATGTCAAACCACCAAGCAGTAATTCCCTCCCCTAGCTGGTGGCTTCGGGTGGAACTGGCTGCAAACTGGCTGCTATTCAGTTTTCCACAAAGTACTAAGGAATCTCTTTAAAAATATAAGACCAAACATCTTCTAAAAGCAACCTCAGGTTTTCAACCATATTAAAAGCATGTGTTTATCTTGGAGATATTCACAGGGAAAAAAAAATCATGAAGGAAAAAACCCCCAGAAAATGCAAATCTGTCCAGCATGTCTTATATCTAAGATTATATATACTTAATGATATGTATGATACTTCAGTAAGCTGCACTGCACAAGGAGAACAGCTGTACATGATATTTGGACACTGCTAATAGTGCAGTACCACTGCACTTATCAACTAGCACTCCTCAAGGGTTCTTTTAAATAGGAAAAATGTACAGCACAATGCAGGTATTTGAAGTCTTTCTAGTGAAAGTCTTTTGTAGGAAAGCTGATTTTTTGATGAAATGCTTATGATAAGTATCTGCATTTCTTCCCTGTTTAATTTTTTTTTTAGCAGAAAACTGAGAATTGCTCTGTTTGCCATATTTTGAATATAAAAATTCACATTCCAGTTTAATTTTTTCTCTTGATAAAAATAACATATCCCTAAAAATAATTAATTTAATGTTTATGGTTACAGGTTTTGAAGAAAACCAACCTTGCCATTTAAAATGCTCAATGTTTATTATATTTCCTACACCATCAAAGGCAGAAGTTTGGCTGTACCACTTTGTTGTACTTTGTGGAGTTTTGTTGAATAAAATTTTCAGTTTTTACTGCTGTTCAGAATTTTGTTTTTCCTCTGTGTGGTGTCTATGAAACTGAATTCCTATGAAGGTTCTGAGAACTTTTATTGGGATCTTACATACTCTAGATTAATGTAACAAACATATGTCAAACTATCTGGATAACTGTGATGTTTCTTCTGATTATCAGAGATCATCTTTGTTGTCGAACACCTCCTCTACTTCCTAGTATTACAGCTGGGATTTTGAGTAGGGTTTATCATCAGCCTCCCCAGACTCATATTATGGTTAGCAAGAGCTGTTTCATGGCTTGTTGGCATCTCTGCCATAAGGCTGGGCCTGTGGGATGACTGGATTTCATGAAAAGAGTCATGGCTGTCTCATACTTTCCTGCTCAGTCATTTTAGATACCCCTTTTTGCAATATTCATTCTACTGGATGGTAATTCATGACATGAAGGTAAGCATGGACTGAATTCTGACCTATTAAATGGGGTTATTTTAAAATTATAGTGTCTCACCAGAGGTGTTCCATTCTGCTTTCCCTGTTTCTAAAAAAGAAGGGAAAATAAAAAAGGAAAAAAAGAACAGACAAACTTAACCTCTCACACTTAGCAGATAATAAGAGAAATGGGCCAGCTGAGATGAGAAATTTAAGTAACATAATGGAGGGTGCACAAAGCCTGCAAAGCATTGCTAAAAATAGAATTCCTGGTTTTATTTTACACCAGAGACCTTTACTAATAGACATGCCTTTACTTTAATGCATTAATCAGCCAATCATCCAGCTGGATTCCTCTTTCCTGTCTTCACAGACATATCTGTGTCTGGATTTGGATCTAGTTGCACTAAAACTGCTGGTTGTTGCACCAACAGTCAGATATGACATGTATTATCAAACTGATTTGCCTCAGAATATTTTAATGTAAAGGTATGCTCCAAATTATTCTAATCTGTTATTTCACATGTCTCACATAGATGTCAATGATCAGAAGGGATCTCTAAAATATATTTTGACCTGACCTTCATACACAGATAATAATATTTCATGCAAGAGCTCTTCAAACAAGCTAGTAAATGGTAGCTGAATTTCATTCATACCTTTCAAAAAGATAATTCTATATTTTCATGTAGAGATTTGAAGGATAAGCAATCCTACATGCCTCTAGATGGTTTCAATGGCTCTGACTCTTCAGATTCTCTCCTTTTTGAATCTTTATCTGTCTCTTGATTGATTTCATCCTGTTAGACAGACTTTTCTGATTTAGGGCATTCTTCTTGTTCTGTCCTAAACCTTCCCACAGCTTCTTAAGACCCTTTTCAATGTTTTGGCAAGAATGCATATAACATCCCAATGAGTGCCATGCAGGGAACTTAGGCATCTAATGCAGGTGAGACATGCTTCATGTGGAGCCAGGACAGCAGTAAAGGCTGTTCATTGAAACTCTGGGAGGTGAAAAAATGACTACAAAGCAGTCCCAGCCACTGCATTTTGCTGCTGGGTATTGGACCTGCACTAAGAAAGCCATCCTAACCCCAGCTGCTCTGTTGTCTCACCCAGGTAATAAATTGCATATTGTTGTCAATATTTCTTCCTTTTTAGCTTGAAAATGTGGATATATTTCCTTATGAAATGAAAACTTTGAAGAGAGCAAGCAAAGATACATTTTAATCACTCCTGCCACCTTTGTACCCAGGTTTGCTAAACAAGGTTCAGTTGGACATCTAATTAAATTGCAAGTCTGATTCCTGTTTGGTAATAATTGTCCCAAATTTAGTAATCCATGCACAGTTCTTGCAAGGCTGAAAGTTCCAACACAGCCTACATTTGCTAATTGTCTTTTGTGTTCATTCTTTTTGTGTTGAAGTGGTGAGATGGGAGTGAATATGGGAGGTAAGAGTGTCAGAATCACATTAGTTCTCCAGTCCTTGATTTGTCCCTCTTAGCTAAATGTACACCTTCTTCATGAAAATAAGTGAGAATTTATTTTGACTTGAGCTTAAGTGTATTAAAAGCCTCTAATGACAGACTCTTACAAAACATTGCTTTCCAACAGATTGTGTTGCACACAGCAAGGCAGGAGATTAATTTATTTTTCCACACAGCTTGTTATGTGAAAATCTAAAAGCAATACTAGACCTTTTTTTAAAGAACAACAAAATTAAATTATATAAGAATATTTACCATTTTCACGTGGAAAACCTGGCTATGGGTGCTGCCCTTTTGTGTCCATTAGATTAGCTAGATTATTTGATTAAGATTCAATATTTGTTTTAAAGATTAGAAAAGAAACAAAGAAAAAGATAAAATATTATTATGAAAAACTTCAGCTGAAACCTCTGTATTTGGCATGTGACTAAAAGTTTACCTCAGGCAAACTTCAGCTGGTAACCCCTTCTTTGCTGCTGTGTGTGTATTTCCTGTGCTGCCTTAGGTGGGTTGCAGGGATCATTAGCAGGTGACATTGCCAGATGGTAGGGAGCAGTGACAAAAAGCAACCCAAAACCCAGCCCTCCACTGAGCTGTGCATTATCTCTATTACTATAAACACTTTCTCAGGCTTTACCACCAGGGTAGGTCAGGTACATTGCAACTTTCTGTTGGGGTGATGGTGGAACATCCCCATTCCATTACAGCACCACTGCTTTGCAGAGCTGGTGGTGCTGGAGAAGGAGAAAGCTGCAAGTAAAACCTCTTAAGTTCTCAGGTTATTCAGTGCATTAAACACTTGTTTCACATGTAAGTGCAGAAAACTACAGATGAAGTTGCAGTTAGTTTACACCAGCAGGTAAATTCCCCACTGTGTCTACTGAGTTTGCTGGAAGGATGTTCAATGTGTCTTTCTATTTAGCTACCTTAATGCCAGTAATAAGCAATAAAAGAATTCCTTGCTGAAATACCTACTGGAAGTGATGCAAACAGTCCATGTTCTGCATTGAGTGCTGTGGTTTTGAATCACAGCTTTGATGTCTTGCAGATAAAATCTGTGATCAGATCAGCGATGCTGTACTAGACGCCCACCTCAAACAGGACCCGAATGCCAAGGTTGCTTGTGGTGAGTCGTTTGCTGCTTTGCTTTAAGCCATCACACAGTCACATTCTTCTTTTAGGATATTTGCAAAGATCTAGCTCATTTCACTCTCAAAAAAAATGACATAAGAATTACAGTTTTCAAAAGGAGAGATGAGAAGAAACAGTAAAAGTTTTTGTAAAGACTGAAAAACAAGCAGGCTGTAGAAGAGTAGAGCCATTGATTTTGTGTGTGGACTGAATTGTCCTGGAAGGAACAGGTTTGCATATCACTGAATCATGCTCAGTGTTATGATTTTCCCATTTGTAAATTGGACATATTAGTTTTTTCCTTGCTTTCAGACAGATGGTGAATATGAAAAGAATTTTCTATAGATCAAGTTACCTTGCTAAAAATATAGATAGAAAGGATTTACTCTGTATACATCCAATAGGTCTCTCAAAACCAGCATCATCACAAACACAGTTCTTTGTCTTAGTGGCTGGCTTATTCTGCTATTGTACTCCTGTTCTCATCCCTCTTTTCAGAGACAGTATGCAAGACAGGAATGGTGCTGCTCTGTGGGGAGATCACTTCTCGTGCTATTGTGGATTACCAGCGAGTTGTCCGAGATGCAATTAGACATATTGGCTATGATGATTCAGCTAAAGGTTGGTGGAAAAACCCATGAAATTGTGGAAGAGCAAGCAATAGGCAACTGCAAAACAGGTCTGTCACCACTTCCATACAGGGGCTTTAACAAGCCTGATACAAAATGAATGTGCTGTGGGAAAGCTGCTTACATGGTGCTACATGATACATTTTCTGGCTTTACCTCAGTAAGTAAAAACCTTTTATTAGTTAAAACTGAATTTGGAGTAGGCAGACTATACTTTGAACTGTGGTATTTGGCCACAATAGTTAACTGCAACTTGAACCATAGAACCTACCACTCCTCCAAACTTGCAAGAACTTGACTCTTGGTTTTCATTTGGCAGGCTGGTTGTTGCACCTTGGTGCAAGAGAGAGAGAAGAAACCTAGTTCATTTAATTGTACCTTTGTATTTTTGTACTGCAGTAGCATTTAGAATTCCCAGGTGTAAAGGTGGTTGTCACTGCAGGGTTCTTTGTCAGCTCTGAATATCTCCTTTTACACTGAGCAGTGTGTGGTCCAGACCTAGATTGTGAGATATGTAAATGACAAAAAAGACAAAATGCTCTGTGCACCAGACACATTTCACTTTCTGATTTGCATGGATCTGTTTATACAGTAGAAATATTCCAAGTATTCTGTTACAGTGAAGTGTGTCTTTTAAGAGCTTTTGGTTTACAAGTTGTTTACTGCAGTCCTTTGATTGCAATCAAATTTGCAGGAGGTTGTGATGGGAGAATATTACAGCAGCCTCAGCTGCAGGTTGCCTGCACTGTCACACAACAGCAGTGCTTCCAGAACACAGAGGCAAATCTAGGAGATCATAAATCTCCTTTTATCCAAACTGCCAACAATGATGAGGGGAGATTTGGTGACCCAGTAAAAAACAATTTCTAGAAGTAAAAAAGAACCCTAAACCAAACAATTATGTACAGAAATATAATTTTCTTCTCTGCATAGCCTACTGAAAAGAGGGTGAGGAGCATTCAAGTGGATCATATGCATATGTATATATGTTGTACTGGCTGAACATGAGTTTGGTCAGCAGCTGTCAGGAGCTACAGTTCTAGGATAGGCTGGATTTGGAGAGAAGCAAGTTACTATTAACATACCTAAGAACAGGGGGGAAATTTTGCCACAATCTTCTGTAAATCTTTCAATTTCTTTTTAAAAACTTACTTTTGGTCTTGGAAAGCCATATAAGACCTGAATCTGGTGTTTTTCTGTTTGTGGTTCATACTAAGTCCCATGAGAGATTTAAGTACGGACACTGTTTTGTATGTGTTACAAATAATGTGGAGAGAGCAGAGTCTTCAGTTGCTGAAAAACTCACTTCTGGGAATTCATTAGTAGAATTTAGTAGAGGACTTCATTAGTATTCATTTGGGAGAGGCTCATAATCTGAATTGGCTTGGCACAGTACAAGAAAAAATAACCAGTAACAAGCAAGAAAGGCAGCCCTGTATGATTCACCCCATCGAAAAAAGGTTTCAAGTGTGGTATTGACAAAAATTTTACTAAAGAATAATAGCTTGGTTTTGAGTTATGAATGTGGTATCCTTCAAAATAAAAAATTTGTCCTCTGGCTCCAGGTTACTTTCCTTACTTGTGACAGAAAAAGTTAATTCACTGCTATTATTTTTTCCTGATAGGCTTTGACTACAAGACTTGTAATGTTTTAGTGGCACTGGAACAGCAGTCACCTGATATTGCCCAAGGTGTTCATCTACACAGGAATGAAGAGGATGTTGGTGCTGGAGATCAGGTAGACATAGCATCACATCTAAAACACAAAAGCTGTTTTAATGGAAAAGGTTTACTCCATCTTAATGCCCTATTTTTTATGTCAAAACCCATATCAAAGTATTTCCACACTTTCCTTTACCCCAGAATAAAACCCATAATTTTACTAAAACAGTTGGAGGTTCCTTGAAGGCAGACTTTAGTCTGATGTTGTTTTAGCACTCCAGGCAAATCAGGAGAGCCCTGGCAGTTTGTAGTAGCTGAGGAGGTTCTCTTTAGAACTCAGCAAAGGTTTTATGCTTATGTATTTTGTGTTTTTATTGTATAGTTTTAGGCTCATCAGACCATTCATCTTGCAGCCAGACTTGCCATATAATATGGAATAAGCAAAGAATCTTTTCACATTCCAGGAGCTGTTGAGATTTTGTGCTGCAAAACATTAGGTGATGTTTCACCTGCCCTTGACATTAGTACAATAAAACCCAGAGTATATTTAATTCTCACTTATTCCCAGAGGCAGCTCTTGTAATAGGTGCTCCATGTAATTGAGCCTGTCCAAAGTGAGTTTCTCTGAGCTAAAGAACACATGTAGGCATTTATGGTGTGTTCTCAAGAGAGAGATACTAGCATAAAAACTGCATAATGTGACTGATGCCATATGAGTTAATTCAACATTTACTTGTTATCATTAGAAGTAATATCTAGTTTATATGAGTGCTGTTGAGAACTATAAGTGCAAGTATCAGAGTTCAGGAGCCAAGCTAATATTGTTAAAAAATCCCTTGAGAACTAAAATGATTTTCTGCTGTCATGGGGACATAATACTACATAAGATGAAAAGAGATTTGACTTTCTTTGATGGCCTCACTTTCCATTTGATCCAAGTCCCTTCCTGTCTTTTTTTCCCTTTTCTTCTCCCCCACAACATACACTGGATGAGGAGAAAGAAAATGCTGCTAATTCTATTTAGCAAATGATAATCTGATGCAGGGAACATGACAGAATAATAAAAGTAATATATAACTGTGTGAATATAACATAAACAGTAGAAGCTGTGACTCTAAGCATGTGACATTGAAAAATCTGAGGCAGGTGCCTTAAACTGTTTGAAGGGTATGTCCTTCATGGAGTGCTCACACCCCATTCCACTGAAATTTCAGATGTGAGCTGCAGTAAGTGTGTCTGTATTCATACATAAAAGCCTCTGGAACATTTCCAGGCTACTGAAAACATCTTCCCCATGACAGAATAGTCCTGAAATATTTTCTCCAGCAGATTTCTTTTTTTCTGTGAAAGAACCTATTGGTTTTTTTGCAGATATATCTTCATTTTTGTTGAGGTTTCTAGCTCAACATGTAAGCCTTCAGGCTAGTGAAAAAATTCTAGGAACATGGGAGCTTCTCATTACACTGTAACATGTTGGAGCCTGATCTGAGTTTTGGCTTCTTGCACTGTGGTGTAAAACAGTAGAAAGTAAACCTGGAGGATACCGGTGACTCTTTGCTTCAGATGAAATCTCATTGCCTTTGATTGTGGTGCCTTTAACAGTGATTGAAGTATGTTCTCTCCTCCTGCAGGGTTTGATGTTTGGCTATGCAACAGATGAGACAGAAGAATGCATGCCCCTGACAATTATTCTGGCTCACAAACTGAACGCCAGGTTAGCAGAGCTGAGGCGCAGTGGAGAACTCCCTTGGCTGAGGCCTGACTCCAAGACACAGGTAAATACTGCAGGGCATTGTCCACAACACTGGAAACCAGCACCTTGGCTTTCCAGAAATACTGAGGGCTTTTTGAAAACAGCAGTTGATGTGTTTCAGCTTATCAGGGTTACCTACAAAGAGGAGATAAAGCTTTTCCACTGCTTGTGACATTGACTCTTGGCTGTTGGAAAATGGTTGACTTGTCTCAGAGCACTCCACCACCTGCCACTGACAGGACATTTAACCTTTCAGAACTAAAGTGGTTTGTGCTTGCTGGAAAAGTGATATCCAAAGGATTTATTTGTATTTAGGGGTTCAGGTTGACATTTTCAAGATGCACTAAGAACATAAATTTCTGAGGCTTGAGAGTTTTGAATGAAACCACACCTGAAAGACATATTTTGGATGATTTCATAGAGAATCAATAGGTTCTTATTGAGTTGGGGTTTTTCTATTTTTTTCCTTTATTTTTTTTCTTTAGCATAGCAAAAATTCAGTGAGGAAACAGGAAATAGGCTTCATTTATTATACCTTGGCATCACTGTGAGCAGTGGTCGCTCTAACACCAGTACTGACATTTTGCCACAGTTCTGCTTTCAGAACAGCCTGGGTGACGTCTGATGGGTGCCACTAACACATTTACAGCAGCTCTGTTGTTTGTTGCCCCTGTGTCCCGCAGGTGACAGTGCAGTACACCCAGAAGAACGGGGCAGTGGTCCCCGTGCGCGTTCACACCATCGTGATCTCGGTGCAGCACGATGAGGGCATTTCCCTGGAGAGCATGCGCAGGACCCTGAAGGAACGCGTCATCCAGGTCGTCGTCCCTGCCAAATACTTGGATGACAAAACTGTTTATCACCTTCAGCCCAGCGGACGTTTTGTTATTGGAGGGCCTCAGGTTTGTGTTGTTGTATCATTTTGGTGGTCTTATGAGGTTGCCTTTCACTGTATGTGTGTCTTCAATGCTCAGGTTTTGGCATCTCTGTCCCAGGGTAAGGAGCAAGCTGCCCAGTGGGAGAATTTTCCTGCAGCTGGATGTGGGAGGGCTCAGGGTTTCACATGTCCTATGCCAAAGTAACCTTTGAGGGCCTGGTGATACTGTACATGTGTTGTGACCAGGCAGGCAAGTCTGCATCCAATCTTCCATTGCATGCAGAGTGTAGGGCCCAGTTCTGAATTTTCTCAAACCCTCTGGGAACCAGCACTGAATGAGACCTGCAGTCCTTCCTCATGGGAAGCACTTCTGACAGAGAGATGGACAAGAGAAGCTTTACTTCTCTTACAGTGAACCTGCTTTTCAGGTCTGCATAGCTCTCACTGTTCTGTCTGGCACCAGTAAGAGCTGAAGGTGTTCATCTGTTCTTAAAATCAGCCCCAATAAGGCTTCTTCTGGTGAGAAAATAAATGTTCCTTTTACTTTTAGGCAGTGCAGGAGATGGGATTTATAATTTGATCCTGTTCTCACCAAAGTCAGGAAGAACTTCCACTCTCCGTAGATCAGCAGTTCTGAGATTTAGTTTTTGAAAATAAATTTACCATTATGAATGTTTTAATCTTCAGATGCCTTCAGAAATATCACAACAAAACTTCAAAGCTTCTTCCTGAAATTAGGTTCAATTTTAAAATAAATCAAAGTAGACAGTGTTTTCCCTTTGTTTTACAAATTCATTCACTTACCAGAATTTTCTAGAATTATTTCTAAGGCACTCTTTTTTATTTTAGTGCCATGCAACAGGTAGGAAGATGTTGAGACTTATCATTATAATTATTGATTCTACAAAAAAAAAATGTATTTTTATGCAGTTCAATGGGTTGTATCAGTGTAATTTTGTGTATCATTGATATCCTAGACTATGCACAAAAGGAAAGTCAAACTTGAGCTGTAACTTAGAGTGAATGAACCAAGACAGCAATCATAGCTACATAGAAAAAGAAGGCTACACACAGGAAAATTTTTGTGTGTGCAGTGAAGTGCACCCATTAAAAATGTAAACCTTTCAGATGTGTACTGAACTGCATCCATTTTAAAATGTACTATAGTTACAAGTGAAAAGCCAGCCAGGTATCCCTTGCTACTCTTGTGCTGGAGCTGTGTTGCATATGTTTGCACATACAAACTGAGAAAAGTCACAGGGTCCATTTGCAGCTGTTTAAACTTGGGCTAAGTTTACTCAGTATGGGTCAATCTGCCTATGTGTCCATGACCTTCCAGCTGCTATCATCACTTGTGCAATTTACAATGGCATTGCAGCATAGAAATAACTATTTCTCCTCTTGACTTTACCAGCTTTAGCTTTCTGCTTATTTCTCAGAAGAGCTTTACTCGGTTTTATTTTTAACAAAGCTAGCTACAGGAGGCTGTCTTACCTCCAGCTCAATTCATCTAAGGAAGATAAAGATATTTCACTTGGGATTTTCATCTTGTGTTTTTGAGTGTGGTGGGACCTTGAATTCTGGGTATGGCAAGATGAGTAGGTTTGCTGCTGTCATCATTTTCCTAACAGCAGTACCTGCTGGTGTGATGAGCACAGCCTTACAGCTCATCACAATGGTGACTTCCATACACTTTACAAGTGCATTTGTACTTGTTCAGCTCCTTTGAAACAAGGGGTAGCTTTTTTTGCCTTTCAGATGTCCATTTATTCTTCCTCTCACTCAGTTCTACAGCCAAGTCACGGTGGCATGCAAGGTGTTGTCATCGCAACTGTCTGCACCGTCAAAAACTGAGGTTTGAGGCAAGCAGAAAAAGCCAAGGACAGGATCCTTTAATACATGCTCAGCTGTCTAAAATCCAGATTTATGTCTCAGTGCTTTCTTAGCAGACTGGAACAAACAGTGCCAAAGGTTTACTTCTGTGTATATGCACAGTCTTTCTAAGAAAAACCTTGACTCCCCACTTGTATTTGCCGTGCAAACATTCCAGCAGTTGAATTTCAGTGACATGGTGATCTGAGGCAAAGAATTTAAAATCTGCCTGCACAGGTGGCAGTGGAATTTAAAATTTGAACATATTTTCTTTCACACCAGAAAGCTTAACGATGTAGTAAATTGCAGGGGTCAGACAATTAGTCCAGTGCTGATCAGCTAACCCAGATCAAATGAAAATATGAAGCACTTGTGAGGAGCAGTCAGGATAGCTGTAGGCAACTTGAATATTATCTGTGCTTCCTTATTTTATATTTTTGAATATTCATCTGTTCTTAGAAATAAGTAATCCTTTCTTAATTACCTATGACTGTCTAGTACTCCAAACCCATTGTGTACAATTCAAATTAGACTATAAATATTTTGGGGTAGGAAATGCAGTGTTTAGTCCATATATGACAGTCTCTGATACTGCAATGGAAGTGCTGGGTGCCACTGTCTATGTGACCATCTATAAGGTACCACTGACATACATTTGACTGTAAATAAAAAAAGAATCTACTATCTAATATTCACACAATTTGTGATTTTGACTAAAAGATACAAAAGCCTAGATTTATTTTTTTTTTCCTATTTTAATCAGTGTGAAATCTTTCAATAGTTCTCCTTTATGGAACATAGCATTTTAGCAATATTCTGTAAAAGGTTGGGATACTTTGTAGGTAATTTCTAAACTAAAGCTTCCATATTTACAATTAAAACAGGCAGTGCATGCTCTAGTTATCTGGGTGTTGGCTTGATTAACCAAACAAATTTGTGAATGGCTTATCTTGAGAACCTGGCCTTAAAGAACAACTACAGCCACTGTTGTACCTTGGTGAGACAAGCTCATTCCTTCAGCTACCCCCAGCCATGCCCGTGTGGGGCACTGCACATTGCTGCAGTGCTCGGAGGGCATGCATAGCCCTGTTTGAGGCTGAGTGGATGTGACATGGAGCACCTCTGTCCCTGGCCCAGGGTGATGCCGGCGTCACGGGGAGGAAGATCATCGTGGACACGTACGGCGGCTGGGGCGCGCACGGCGGCGGGGCCTTCTCCGGCAAGGACTACACCAAGGTGGACAGGTCGGCCGCCTACGCCGCCCGCTGGGTGGCCAAGTCCCTGGTGAAAGCTGGGCTCTGCCGCCGTGTTCTGGTCCAGGTATGCTTTGCTGAGGGTGTTGCTGCTCTCAAACCATTTTCCCTCTCTAGGTTCTCTTTGAATGCCCATGGCATGCGCCACCGTAGTAGAAGCTGTCTTGGTGATGGTGTTCTGGAGAAAGGAAGACTTGGTTCAAGCCCACTGTAATGTCACTAATAACATTTGGCTTCTTGAAATTGGAACTTTGCAGTTAGCTTTTTGGCTATTTTATTGGCTATTTTTGGCTATTTTATTGGCTATTTTTCTAGGTATTTGTTGGACCCTCAACTCTCTGACACACCCTGTCATTGAAATAAGCATGGGGTGACTGGATAATGAGGGAGAAAGTAACCCAGAGGCCTCAGCATTTTCCAACTTTTCTTTTATCTACAAGTACAGATTGTGCAAATATGAGAAGTGAAGAGAGGCCTTCATTTTCATAAGATGATTCATAAATTAATGCTTTCTTCTGCTGCCCACTGTTGCCCCAAGGTGCTGTGTTTATTGGCTGACTAAGGCACCTTTTTTCCCCACAGGTTTCTTATGCCATTGGAGTTGCTCATCCACTGTCTATTTCACTGTTCACTTACGGAACTTCCCAAAAAACAGAGAAAGAGCTGCTGGACATTGTGCACAAAAACTTTGATCTTCGGCCTGGAGTCATTGTCAGGTAAAGAAACACACAGAAAGGAAAATGTCCCAGTAGTTGCATCCAAGAAATGATTTATTGCAAAATCTTCAGCTATTACTGAAGGCTTGGCCTTGTATAGTATATGGAAGTCAAATAAAACAACTTTTGCATTCCAAGAACTTTAGGTTACTTTGCTCTGATAAAAAGGTATCTTTTTATTTACCAAAGGAATTTAAGATTATTTCATCTTTTCCATTTAATAGTAGTTATCCTGAAGTATCTTAATATGAAAAATTTTTCCTTCTTTTTATTATACACACAGGGATCTGGATTTAAAAAAGCCCATTTACCAGAAGACTGCATGTTATGGTCACTTTGGAAGACAGGAATTCTCATGGGAAGTGCCTAAAAAACTTGTGTTTTGACAGTAGTGACATGTCACCTTTTAATACCAGAAAGGAAGACCACTAATGATGAGGATGCTTCTGAAAATCAAATTTGACAGCTTTATATTCAACATAAGGAATTTTAGATTTTAAAAGGAAAGAAAGAAAAGGTTATTTTCTTGGAAATTGATTTTTTTTAACCCTCAGTGTCTTTCATTACCTAAGATATAATGGACAGAGTCTGTTTTTTTAATCAGCATAAGACAGCAAAATACAGTTTACTTTTAACTGCTGCTCTGTTGGTTCTTTGGATAAAGACAAAGTGTGACTCAGGTACTCAAACCAAAAGCTGAACCTCAAACCTTTGATGGGCAAAGGTGAAGATGACTTTCCCAACTCTGACTAAGGATCAGCAGATCTGTTGCTTCTGATTAGACAATGGGAAATTCCAGGGTCCAATTTCCTTACTGGAGTTAGCAATGCATACAGCTGGGGGCTGCTTTGATGGGAGAAGGCTGCATAGCACCTAACAGTATCTTGCCTCTTTTATAAAAGATGTTAACATATGTGTAATATTTAAATCACCTTCAGTGCATATGTGCTGTTACTGTCGCGTTTCAATTACCTGTGTTTTTGAAACATAAGTGCTCTCCTATGACACTATGACACAACAATCATAGAATAAAAAGCTTTTTCCTACCATGTATGTAAAGGTGTATCTTTTTCTATGTTGTTTTTTTTTTTTTAATGCTGCTGTAAAATGGTCCATCTCAAGTCAGCTGCTTCTGTTCTTGTAGGAATTTAGTTTACCAACATAATTGAATTTGATTTGATTTTGAAATTGTTATATGCATTTCCCTGTTAATACATGCATGATCACTCTTTAGTCCTTGTGATTAACGGAAATTCAGTGAAAAAGTATTAGGTTTTATTTGTAACTCTTAGGTTGTGAGACATGTTTGTCTTCTATGGTAGCTTTGTTTGTCAGTAGGCCACAACTTAATCCTCCAAAGCAAGGGTTGCCTGTGTATGGCCCCCAAGAGGGACTTAATGCTTTCAGGCAGCATTCTGAGAAATCTGCGCTGGAGAAGTGCTGCCACCCCGTGTTTATCTCCTAAATAAATGTCTTCATACAGCGCCTCCCGAACAGATGTGGTGGTGGAAAGAAAGTGCCTGTGATGAACATTAAAGAAAAAGCTGCCATTTATTCCTTTCAAGTATGTCACAAACACAATTTCTATCTAGTCAAGCCAGAGATCTCTCCACTTTTGTTATTTATGCTGATGTGCTCTGTGTTCTGTGTAAGTTGAGATAAACAGGTTTGTGTGTACCTTCTGATCTCCCAAGGACTTACCACATTAATCAGTTGGCCTCCTTGGGTACCCACCTGGGTACATTTTGGCAGGAAAATATCTTAGAAAAATATCTTAGATATCTGCATCTTTGAGAATGGGTTTAAGATTTCCCAGGGCCTGTTTTCCTAGCTGCATATTGCTTATCTTCCAAGGAGTATGGAATATGTGTGTGTCAGCCTCAGCAAGGTAAGCTGTTTGGAGCTCCAGGTCATAATGTAGTACACTACAACCAGCAGAAGTAAGTGAATGAAAAATTAATAAAAACAAACAAATAAAAAAATTAAAATTAATTAAGAAATTAAAAACTGTGTTTCATAACATGACATGAAAACAGAAAGTCCATGCTCAACAAAAAGAAACACCCAGAGACAAAAGGAACAGTTCTGCTCAGGTGGTACCAATAGCAACCATTACTGGTTTGTTGGAGAGGAGGGTGTGTGTGTGCCCAGCTGGTTGGCAGGAAGGTGAGGCTGTCCCAAAGCCTGGCTGTGTGTGTAGATGTGTGACAGGCTGTGTCTCTGAACCCTGCATTGCACACATGGGTCAGGCACACCCTTAAGAAAATTGGATTAATCTGCTAGTAAACGTGCAGGGTAGAAAAGGTGGAACTTTTGTGGCAATTTTGCTACCTATTCAGCTCTTCCCATAAATGGATTTAAGCACATGAGGTTCATGACTTCATTAAAAAAAAAAAAAAAGAAGAAAGACGTTAGTAAAACTCTGGATGCTACAGGATACAGACCATAACCCATTGGTTCACATCTGTTGTCATTTGATGTTCTGAGCTCTCTCGTGGAGCATGACATACAAGTTAAGGCATTATTACATCTTCTTTATCAAAGTATGTGTGTTTGTGTGTGTGTGTGTGTGTGAGAGAGAGAGAGGCAAACACAGACAGATGGGAAGGTGGTGAGAGAGCCAGAGCATGCAAGAATGTGCATACACTAAACATGTTTACAGTAACCAGTTAATGTGAAAATTTCCCGGTGGAGCTGGCAGCAGCAGAGCCCGTCTGCCTCAGTGCCCTAACGAGGACATGCCCTTGGCCTCCCCAGACTGTTCTGGCAAGCTCTCCTCGTGCTTCCCAGCAAGTGGGGCAATCAATGTGTGCCTCCCCCTAATCCCTGATCCCAGCAGTGCTGGGGACTGAGCACAGGGTGAGCAGCCAGCCACACACAGGCACACAGCTCTGTGCCTGACTGCAGGGCTTTGGCTCTCAGGCACCACAAGCACCAAGTAATTAATTACCGTGGTCTCCTGCAGAGAGAAATGTTCGGCTCCTGCCTCCCCTGGAAAACGCTGTTTGTTCTAAGTTTAGCGGTTCTTCTTGCAGGTAAGATGGTCTTGAATATGAGTAACAATTGTTTAAATAGAGAGAAATGAAGATATAATATTTAGAGAAATGAAGAGCCTGCTTGGGAACCCAGCCCCGAGGGGCTCCAAACAGGTGCTCACATTGCTGTTTCCAACAAATCAATATTTGTACAGATTATTCAGAACTGAGCCCTGATCACCTCAGGTATACAAGCTGGTACTAGGACTGGGGGATAGGATACAAGCAGGATAGAAGGACACTTCCTCTGCACAAGTGGTATTTGGGGTTGTTCATGTGTCATGACCTAGCTAAGTACCTGCTTCTGCTTGTCTTTTAGATTTTACTGAAATCCGAGCTTTTGCCAGTCGAAGTGAATGCAGAAGTACAACCATAGATGATGTGAATGGGTTTCTCAAGGTAAGAGGTTGGCTGACCCAGGGTCTGTTCTGCACCCACCTCCTGTGCTGGTGGGCTCCTCCTGTGTCTGCCTGCCCTGGCTGGGCAAGCACAACTCATGAATTGCTTTGGCAATGTACAAAGTACACACTGGGGAGGGGAGGCACACGCAAGAGCAGAAAAACATTAGTGTCATCTGACTTAGCACAGCTTTGCTCCTGATACTGCTAGTCCCAAAAGTGTCCTTGTAGGTGTGTTTTCCAGTTTGGCCCTGCTCCAGATACATAAAGTAGCTTGAACATAAGCAGTATAGTGAGATAAATAACAGTAGCTACCTAGAAATACATGAGCTTCTTTATTTACATATGTTCACAGATAGGTTAATTCTAAAGCTCCAAAGTCTTGCCTTTTCAACTTGGACTTTTTCTCCCCTATCTCCACAGAAATTTTCAAAATGCATGCCTGAAATCATTGCCAAGGGTGAAAAAGCTTCAGTCAATTTCCTGGCATGGACACTGCAAGAAACTCTTGATCTGCTGCACCCTGTTCAGGAGCAATGTGAGGCCCCTCCTGAACCAGCCCCTTTGCTGGGCATTGAACAAAGGGGCAGAGCAGAAGCACACAGAATGAACCAAGCACACAGAATGAACCAAGTGTCTGCATTTCTTTAGGAAAGGAGGGGTATGATGTCTCAGCAACAGGGAGCACTGGGACTGGGGAGGCAGAGAGCACAAACAGGGAGTCCTGCTGTCCCTGCAGCCCCAGCACTGGTGCTCAGCAGCAGAGCAGTCACAGGGCCAGCAGGGCAGGCTCTGCCCTCCAGCCAGAGCCTCTGTGCTGTCATGGAGCTGGCATGCCAGTCATATTTCTCCAAGAAATATTTGGATAGTTTTGGCCACAACAGCACTGAATGTCAGTGCTGTGAATGCAAATGCCACAGTGAGCTGCCTCTGAAGCGTAATGGGGCTGATCCTGTAGTCACAAGTGAGGGGAAAATTCGGTGGGTGTGGCCAAAAAAAAAGTGGGGGACAAAAAAATTGTAGACAAGCAAAAATGCTTGCTTTGATGATGTCAGCTGGTGGAGACAGGTCAATGAATTTGCTTGGGAAGAAGCTTTTATGCCCACTTTCACTCTAATATATTGTTTCCTCACTCTATTTTCTTCTTATCCACCCAAAAGTTTGCAAGCAGCTACCTCCATGCCCACGCCCAGTGGCCCCAAAAAACGGGGGGCTGGTGTGTGTGACCATTGACAACACTCAGTACTGCAAACCCATGTGCAACAAGGTAACATTCCTGCCTTATGTATTGCTGCATCTATTCCTTCCTTTACAACTGCTTATTTGGTAAAGCCTAATTCTCTTGCTCTACTTTGTTTTATATCCCTCAGGGCTGGGAGAGGTTGTAGTGTTTGTGTTTACCTGCCCTGACTCTTTCTTCCCCTTGCAGCTACCATGTCATGCCCTAAGACAGTGTTTGTTTATTTTCTTCCCACCCCTGTTTCCCAAGGGTTATGACTTCCAGTTCCTCAGGAGCAGCAGGCTGTATGAGGAGTGTGGCAATGCCACGGGGTTCTCCTGGACCACGCAGCTTGTTGGGGAAAAGGCACTGGCAGTCTGCAGCCGTGAGTGCTCCTCAGATGTGTCTGCTCATGGGGACACAAGGTTTCATCTCTTTTGTTCAAAAAAATAGGAGGAAGGAGAAGTTTCTCTTTTCGTGGCAGCCCTGTCATGTGTGACATTGTGAGAGTCAGTGCTGAGCTGGCAAATTGATGAGCAAGAAAATACATTAGCTATAATACTCTCATGAAGTCACTGCTATTTCAACTTGGGGCACTAAATATGGCATTTATGCAAATGTTTGTGGGAAGAAGGACCTGTTTTTTAAAAAAACAGTAAATTGGTATCACCTTAACACAAACCCCATGTTGCACAAGGGTTGTGTGACCCACTGGTCAGACAGCAATAGGACATAAAACTGTTTATCTTGCAACAATAGTTGAAGAATCTCAGCAAATTGGCCAGCACCTGTATGTACACACAATAAAGCCCAGCAGCTTCATGGCAGCACTGTAAGGGACTGTAAGACTGCTCCCATTGTATCCATTGCTCAATCTGTGAGCCAAAGCGGGCTCTATGACTCTGATGTTACTGCCTTAATTTAAAAACAAATATGCATATAGATACACAAAAAGGCCACCCTACCTCTCCTATGCTTAATGGAAAACATTTTACTGTTGACAGTGCCTAGTTGCTAGAGCAGCTGCTAGTTGTTTTCCATGGCTTAATAAAAGCAAACAATCATCTGGCCACTTTTATTCCAAGTTGGAGAATTTAGTTTCGAAAATTGGAATGTCAGCACATGTGCAAAGATTAGGACAAACCTAAGTTAAGTGAACTCAGCTGCTTATTTATTTATTTATATCTTTGATCTTTTCCAGCCTCTGAGGTGGCCATCAGTGGAGCTAAATCTGCCTATTTCCCCAGCAACAGCACCTGTGTGCACACGGTTGCCCTCGCCGAGGCTCAGGCAGAGCAGCTGAACATCTTCCTGCGGGAGCTGGCCGAGCGCGGCATCGACGGCTCCAGCCGGGACCCGGGGGCCGACTGTGTCACCTGTGGCCACTGACAGCAG